GAGAGAGAGAGAGAGAGAGAGAGAGATAGATAGATAGATATAGATATATATAGATATATATATAGTCAAATGTACTTTATTTTCACAGTTTCACAATTTCAATCTTGACTATTTGTCTGTAGATCGCAAGGGTATTATTGAAAGCATTTCCAGCTATTCCTGTGATGAACTTTGGTAAGAAAGAAAATGAATCACTGTGGAGACTCTGCAAGCATCAGGTTGTTATGCAGGTGAATAAGAGATAAAATCCTTAAACAGGCAGATGAACTGACATAAAGTGTACAAAAATACAGCAGTGCACAATGCATTGTTTTAACAGCAAAATAACATTCATCATTAATGACACTGATTAAAGAATAAGCTGTACGGCTCCAGAAAACTAAGGTATTACTTTAGATGCAAAAGGAGAATGTTCAATTAAAACTTTGTTAGTTACAATGATTAAATTGTCTGATTGACCGACAGGGTTAAACGGCAGGACACAATAGCAATTTGGAAAAGGTGTTGGTGGGTCGAATTTCATCCCGCAAAACAAAAATGAAGTTCTACAGAAGTGAAATGATACATTTTACTCCTATGGGTCTTGTATTAACAGGATGAAACACAATAGATAATGGCAACATTGTTACACCAGTGTCAAAAAAAATGATAAGCTCTATCAGATATATGGATATTTATCTAGTGTAGTGTCAAAAGTCATAAGTAAACAGTTTGACATATGCAGGAATTGGCCTTAATGTTTCATTCAGTTCAATATCTACCTAATTTATTTTGACCTGTATTTTATTTTTGACACGAACAGCAACTGTGCCATGTGTTCATGTCCAACGCCACCAGGATCAGGACCTTCAATGACAAATCAGGTTAGTTGAACACTATATGAAGTTTGGAAAAATGTGCATCAGTGTTTGAGTATAACTGTTGTTTTGGCTTTGTGGTTTGTTTGTTTTTTTAATGAATACATAGCGACACATGTAAAAGATGGTACCACGAACAGTTCCTTGACATGAAGAACGATGACCTAATAAAGGCAAGAGAAGAAATATGTGTAAGTGTGTCCTGTGCTGATAAACCTCAATCATGTGGGAAGTTTGCGTCCTTATCTTTGAAGATGTGCTCTTTTGTCTCCTCCAACAAATGACTTTAAACAGCATAGCACATTATAAAGCTTTAACTGTACTGCACATTTCCATGACATTAGCATTTAGCCTTTGTGCATGTTTATTGTTATCAACACTGTTCTGTTGGGACTTCAAAATTTACTGTAATGTTGTTGAGCATTACAGTTACAATTTTTTGATTCCCCAAGTTAAGCTGAGTTACTGGTTGATATTTTTTTCAAAAATAATTGTATTTCATAACAGGAAAAAATAAAAGTAAAGTTTTGAGGAGTTTGTGTCTTGACTCTTTTAAGATAATAGTAATATTTTGGGGAAATTGTGATAACCAAAATCAGACTGACTAGATATTGACATGGTATCCCTGTGAGGGTGTATACTGTCAATATAGACTGCAGTTTCCCTGTGGAAACAGAAATTTTCACTGAAAGAGTAGTTCAAAAATGAAAATGTACTTTGAAATCCAAAATAAGCCGGCCTTGATAAAGACAGGGAAGTACTACAGTACAAGGATGTGTCATTTGGATCTAATGTTAGAGTGTGAAAACCAGATTTAATGATATTTGTTGTTAAGTACTTATCGTGTCTGTTAATGTTAAAGCTCCTCCCAGCAATACATTTCTCTTGTCTGAACCTGTCCAACAACTTTGGTTACACAACGTATTCCCGGAAATGGGAGAAACCGGAAGAGACAACATGGCAAACTGAAGACAGTCAGTAACCTGACAGGTGTGGGCCTAATCAGAACAACAGACACACGTCTTAGAAACTGTAAGTAAATTTTCTGACAATCCTCCACCAGTTATCTTAAAACTTAATTGAAAACAATCTTTTTGCTTTCTTTATAAAATCATCCATGTAAAAGCATGCGCTTTGAGCCCTCTTCGGAATATTTTCAGCTCTGTAGTCACACCCTATGATCATGGGTGTTAAGTGTTGCGTTTTGTTAAGGAGATTTCAAAGTATCTTAATGTCAGTCATAATATTAGCTGCTCAGAGTTACTCGGAAAAAGAGCTTTAATGCTGCCTTTCCTTCTCTACAGTGTATGAAGGATGGGCAAATCGATTTACATTGCTAGAGTTGTTGCTTTGTTCCACTTTTGCACTGATGATTAGCTAACATGTCATGACTGGGCCCAATCACTGGAGTTAAAATATGACGGGTACATAGTAAGGCCGTGTAGTAACACATAGTCTATATATCTGCATCAACATATTTTTTAAATGAATTGTTTTTTTTGTTTTTTTTTAATAAATTCGACCTGTGATTAGTCTGAATGGTAGAAAGAGTTTAATTACCAAACCATCCCAACTAAATTCATCAAAAATTAGTCTGCACAAATTAAATACAAATTGACCCTGATAACAGTAAACAAATAGTTTGATGCAGATTTATAGGAGATGCTAACATCTACACAGATTATATCTCCAGTCCATTTGTCCATTTGTGATTTATTCAAAATTAGCTGTGGGAAAGTGACAAATATTATTGTGCAACAGTTTATGAGATGAATCATCATCAATTTGCAAATTCTGACATGTTGATGGTTTGGAGGAAGTAATTACTGGAGTTAACTGAGAAAGATCAAAATAATTATAAATTGAGCTGAAAGTAGCTATGCATAATGTTATGTTTGAGAGATGTTTATACGTAGTTTTTTTCTATAATGCTTAAAATTGTATTGTGAAGAAATTCATAAAGTACTTACTAAATGATGATCTTCTAATTTAGCAAGGTGCCATTTCCTCTCCTGCTAACCAGTTATCTGCTTTAAGGTGCACATTTGAACATTGAACCAGAGAGTCAAGTATTTCGGTTTTGAGTCTTCTTTGCCAGAGGAGCTACAGTAGCCAGAGTCGTACACTATGAAGAAGTAAAATTATTAACAAGATAATCGACCTGTGTGGGATTAGTGTTCAGGTAGCTGCTCTGCACTGTCTTGGTACAAGGCCGCATCGATGTTATTGTTTAACCATAGCAACAAAAATCTTGTGATGCATGTCAGCTGGCTCATCATAAAATCAAGCAAAACTTCTACTCAGCCATCTCCAAGTTACATAAAATTGGGAACATTATAATGATTGCTGTGAAATATTAGCTTGATATGTTATATACCTTTGAAGATACATTTATTTGAAAAATGGTCTGTCGACACACTTTCAGACTTTTCTTTCACACATTGAAATCTGCGGTAATGTTTGGACATGTACATAGCATGGGGAAACAGTTGGCTTGAGCAACTTTTACCACAAAAACGAGAATATCAATAAATTGTCCTGGCCACAAAGAATAAAATACTGGCGTTTCCAGATGGAACTCAGGAAATAATGAAGTTAATTATGTGCCTATTTTTCATTTTCAAGACTTGAGTCCCTCCAGTCTCAAATCATCATGACTTTTAGAACATTTTGTGCTCCACCATCTCTGATTTTATGGTCCAAAGCTTAAACAAGGATTGCTGATCATTTTACCTTTGTACATATTTTTTAAAAAGGCCCACCAAACCACTTTCAAGCCATTTTTCTTGCACATTGAAATTGGAGCAAATTTTTTGAACACGACTGTCTCAGAAACTATTAAAGATAAATGCAGAAATGTTCATATTTGACATATTTGCTCAATTCAGTTTGAAAGTATAGTGAAAGCAGGATTTTCTTCATTTTGTGCCCAAAACCTTCTTATTACTAGCATTTACCTCATTATAAGACAAGCAAAATTCATAAAATTGATTAATTATAACTAAGGGTGTCAGTGTTTGCAAGTAAATATTATTAAGTACATGAATCTTCCAGTGTGGTAGCCAAAATAGAATTATTTGCTTCTGAAAACTTTTACAAACTGTTGATATTCTTTAAACTCAAAATTTATTGACTTTCTTTTATCTTTTCTTAAGATTAAACTGGAACCAGATTTCTCATTACTTGGCTAATTTCAGTGATTTGTCTTTCACAGGTAATCTGAAGAAAAGATGGATATTTTCACTCAGCTACAACAGGCAGTTTCTGTTAGTGTAGCAGTAACAGAAACACATCCTATAATCCAGTGCATAACAAACAATGACCTCAAAAACCTCAAGAAATTACTGAAGGACAACAATATTAATGGAGTTTACCCCTGTAGTAAGTGGGGTGATTATATAACCCCATTGATTGCTGCTGTTGTAAATAACAACACAGATATCTGTTCTTACGTTTTGCGTCAGGGTGCAGACCCAAATATACCTTCTCAACTCCAGTGGACACCTTTGCATTATGTCTCACGGTCCAAAGCACGACCTGATTTTGTGGATCTGTTGCTTAAAGCAAAAGCTAATCCAGATGGATGGAGTCCTATTCCTCTGCAACAACACATGCCCACACCACTGCAAGTTGCAGCCATTAAAGACAGGGAGGATATCATGAAAAGACTCATCTCTGCTGGCGCTTTGGTGACACTGCCGCCCATTGTTGATAATCAGTCACTTACTAAGAGTAAAAAAATATCTCAGATGGTTAATCACCTTGCAGAAAATGGAGATAGAGTGTGTTCCCAAATTAGACATTTTTTTGATATGGAAATTGCTGTATTTGAAAAAACACCTGACGAAGTGTTTAAAATGTTCAACAGTCACATGTTGTTAGAGCATCCTAGGTCTCATCTGACCATGACTGAAATCCTTTTTACTGTTTCAGGGCCTGATGAAGAAAAATATGGCCATTTGTGTATTAAATGGCTAAAGGAAACTAAAAATGTAAACGCTTACATTACAGGTGCAGCCAGTCGCCTTTCAAACATTCCTCAGACACATGAATGGAGGGCAGTCTATAGTTTAAACCGAGTTTTCTGCACAATGGAAGACATATCAAATGAGCATGCAGTAGCTATAATTCCACAACTACTGAAACTGCTTTGCTTAAAAGAGATACCTGACATCTGTGAAGCAGTGCTACAAACACTGTATGTGATAACACAGAAAACAAAAGGCACAAAGGACTGGCACGTCAACTTTTTAGAGAACTTATGCAGAACAGTTGCCCCTTTTGTAAATGAGCAGCACTCCACTAAGATCAGGATTTACACGTATGCTATATTTGGAAACCTGCTGTCAGTTGAACAGACAGCAAATATTTTTAAATCAGGGGGCATAACTTCAGTGCCCGAGGACATACTGACATCTGTAGCAATGGAAATGGATGACAGTCTGAAAAAGGTGGTGAGAGGTCTGAAAGAATATCTGAGCAAACCAAACTCAGAATGTGAGGGAAACACAGCCTCAACTTTAGGGAAAAAGAAGAAAAAGAAGAAGAAAAAGAAGGAAAAGCAAGACCCAAATGCTGAAGTTTCCACTGCAGCAACTGAACTAACAACAAAGCTTTCTGTTTTAGAATCAACTTCAAATGTAAAGCCTTTTGAATACAGCATCATTGAAAAATCAGATAAACAAAAATGGCTTCAAATCAGCAAGAGGTGGAAGGACAAACTGGAGAAACTTGTTGGCACAGATGACAGTAAAATCTCCAGAATCGGAAGCATCATTTATGTGAATGATGCGGATTTCAGAATAGCGAAGGGAACCGATGCTACTGAAGTCTTCTTGGGGCTGAGAGACGACGGCACAGAAGTTGCCATTAAGAGAATGTCTAAAAGCAACTATGAAGTGCTGAAGAATGAAGAAGGAATCCTACGACTCCCTGAACTCGATCATTCTTATATCGTACGATATGTTGATGCTCCAGAGGATGAGAACTTTGGATATCTTTGTCTGCAACTTTGTGAATACACCTTGGAAGAACATATCAAGAATGAACGTGACCCACAGATATTAAAGGAACTTGTAAAACAAATTCTTGAAAGTCTAAAGGTGCTTCACTGTGGAAATCCTAAAATTCTTCACCGAGATCTAAAACCCCAGAACGTTTTGATTGGTAAGACATGTTTGAAATTTAGGGAAAAAAACAAAAAACAAAAACATGTGTCAGGTAAATATAAATTAATGATTTAGTTTCATGAGTTTTGCATGTTATTCCTCCTGCAGATGTTACTGGGAGGGCAAGATTAGCTGATTTTGGCATAAGCAGACGCTTACCCAAAGGCCAAACAACTTTACTTACACGCAGTGCAGGAACCAGATGCTGGATGGCCCGAGAGACTTTAGAGGAAGAATCTGCATCATACAAGAAAAGCACTGACATACAGGTAAAGTCTGCTGCACAAACTTGATTGACTGAAAGATGCCTTGGTAAAAATCCCTAAACTGATGTGTTACTGTTAAGGTGGCAGGCATGCTGATCTATTATATCCTGTCTGGAGGGAACCATCCATTTGGTGACTTGAACGTTAAATCCTTTAAATGTGAGTCAAACATTTACAATGGAAACTACAGTTTGGATCAAGTTCAAGATGTGGTGGCAAAGGATCTCATAGAGTGGATGATCAACAAAGAACCGAAGGACAGACCCAAAGTAGAAGAATGCTTGGCCCATCCCTTCTTCTGGACTCCGAAAGAGTAAGGAAGTCATGCTGTAACAGAATCTGTGATTTCTGGTTTCACTTCAGTAAAGCAAGAATACACATGCTGTATAATAATGAGAGCCTAAACTGTGGGGGGAAAATTTTCAGTCTGTTACGTGGCTTAATCTATATGTTGGGAAAATGAGGTCAAACTGTCTTGTACTCATACTGGCACGTTAACATTGTCAGCAAATACTAAATTATTTTCCCACCCTTCTGTTCTTGTCTTTTTAAGCAATACTCTTTTTTGCTGCTCCTGTTATTATTCAAGATATACCTCATAGTTTTTTTGTTGTTATTGTACTTATAAAGCATAATTTCAACTTTTTTTCCAGGCAGTTTCAATATTTGAGAGAGACCGGCAACAGGGAGGAGGTGGAAAACTGTCGAAAGGCTGATGAAAAGCTGATTGATTCACTGGAAGCATGTGCTAATGGATCCTTCAAACTGTGGAAAAATAAGGTGACTTACAGATGAGAGGTCAAACTTATGTATTCCTAAAGTCCAGTTCATGACCACCATGTTTTGTTGTTGCAGTTTCCTGAAGAGCTGGTTCGGAAGATGGAAAAGGACAGACTGCCGTACCCTAAAACCACACTGGGATTACTGCGCTTTATACGCAATTTCCATGAGCATGAGTAAGTTAAACTAAATGAAAAGTGATGTAATTCATGAACACACATATTTATATGTGTATATATTTTAATTTCTTGTAACTATATGAACAAATCACAAATATTTCTGATACTATGACAGATTTGGAAGCTTACCTCTCTTGTTACTATTCATTAATAAAACTTTCCTTGTTCACAGGCTCAAAAATTTTCCTCACATTGATGTAATGATGTTATTTCCTGATCTCTTTGGGTGTGTTTACAAGTTTACCAAGGATAAAGGCTGGAATTTAGAAGGCAAGAAGGAAATGTTTGAAAAAGAAGAAACAAAGGACATTTGTACCGCCTTTACAATGATGTCTACAAGTACGGACGACCCTCTGAGTTTCCCAGTTCAGGAGTCTCAATAGTGACTTTAAACAAAGTTGAATTCAGTAAGGACGAAGGCTGTCATTAAGGCCTGTACAGTATAACAACCATTCAGAGAAAATGTATATAAGCAAATACTATTATTAGAAGTACAGATGTAAATGAAAGCTTTGAGGGATGCTTTAATTTGTTCAAACATATGTACATATAAGCACACCACAGAAACCAAACTAGCAAAATCAAAATGTGTTCTGCACAATAAGCCAAAGCTTTGCACCTTTTGTTCATTGTGACCACTTTCCAAATCCTGATAGAAGGAGAGATGTTGTTTTAAGGGACCTACTAGTACTAGACTTCAGTAATGTTATTTGTATGGTTTTATATTTAGTAGTTAATTTAAAATGTGCTATTATGGTGGCTGTATTTGCAAATGTTAGTGATAAAAATCTTTTTGAACCAAAAGAAATGGTAACACTGGTAGTACTTAAGGATAAGTTCTCCCAATTCAGTTTTTTTTTTAATTACATACAGACAGACATTTGTTCAGTTTTATTCCAAATAGGAAAATGATTAACCTACTTTTTCAATACATTTTAGTTTTGTTGTTCAAAAATACATGCTTAAGTATGCATTTTGATTTTTGAAAACTTATATGTATCATGTCAACTGTATACTAGTACTATGTACTATGCCAACTTTTCTGTACATGTATTTTGAATTAAAGTGAATGTCATTACAAATTTACCAAATATATTAGAATTTGTATGTTTTATTAAAGATTTTCTTTCTCATTTTCATATTGTAAAACACTGCAAATTTAATGTTTAGTAGCTAAATAGATTTCTTTGAAAAAACAAGTTGAAAGATGTGCTCCTTCTGTCATGGTCCTAAGTCTGTGGACTCAGTGGTTTTGGTTTTGATTATTATCTTATGTTTTAGGTTTATTCTTATCAAGAATTTCTTGTTCTCAGGTTTTGTTTCTGTTTTGTAGTTCAAGTTTCTTTTGTTCTGTGTTTCTGTGCCTGCCCTGGTCCCACGTCTTTGTGTTCCCTCCCTATTGCCATGTCTTGTGTTAAGCTCACATCTGTGCATACCTATTGTATTTTCTGTTTTATTCTGAAGGTCTCTGTCTCATGTGAGTGTTCTCAGCTTTACGTCTGTGTCTCATCAGCCCTGATCCCATCCCGTGATTACTCCTGTGAATATTTAAGCCCTATGTGTTCTGCTGCCTGTTGCTGTTCTGTCTGTGACGTCTACCCCAAGTCTCCGTGTGTTTCCTCCGTGGGCCTTCCTGTACATTTGCGTGTTACTCCGTGAGTTTTGGTTTCAGTTTCATGTATTTAGGTTTTTCCAGTTTAGTTATTTCTTACTTCGTGTCCTCGCTGTCTCCACCTTAAATAAACTAACTCCTCATACCAACCTCGGCCTGCACTTGAGTCCTCACTTTACCTCCTCACGGCCTGCCTCGCAAGCCCTGACACCTTCAGTCAGTCAGGATAGTCGAAATCAGGCTTCACTTTGCTGTAAATGCTGAATTTCATTTAATTTCATTCTATTAAAACCATAGTAGCTCGCAGATCTGAAAAGTGAAACCAAAAGTGAAGTGTCTTGTACCTGCTTTCTTTCTCAAGGCCAGGGGTGAGTAACTTGACTGGCTTTAAAACGATGTCCAGCTGTACAGGGGCAGAATAACCTGTCAGCACTCTTATGCATGACCTCATAAATATTTTTCATGACGTCATGACCTGCAGTCAGTAGTTTTAAGTATAACTGAATAATATATCCTATTAAGCCGTAATGGTGACTATATAGTGCCAATACATTCCATTTACATTAGAAGCAAAAAGGAGGAAAACGGCACATGCTTTACTGTGTTATTAACACTGAATGTGCAGTGGCCCTTGTTTATTTGCATATCCTCTACTTTTTACAGTGTAAAAGCGTGGCTTGAGGTTTCACAACAACATTTCCATAATTGTTTGCCTCTTAACAAGCTCCTGCCTTGATAAGATAAGATAAGAGTAAATATCTGGTGTTTGCAAGGGGTATCAGTATAAAGTTGGTTGGGGGTTGTATGAGGAAAGATCCTCAGATCCACTTGATGCTTGTTGTGGCTGCATGTAAGGGGATCTCCCAATGTGCATTGGTAATAAAGCTTTTATAAAAAATACTCCAGCCTTATCTGACCCTTCTTCTCCAGGTGGGATATCAAACTGATCGGTCAGGTCAAGAAGAAGTAAACTTCAACAGGGGAAAGAGTAAACAGGGTTTTTTACACTCAAAAAACCTTAAGTACTTCTGAGACGTTTTTGTGTTTTTCTGGAAAGGCAGCTAATTTTGTGTTGCCATTTTCAAGTGTCTTCATCATTTAAAATGTTAATAACTTACGACAGTATTTTGGATTTTGTCTCACTGGCTCACTTGGCCAGAGTTAATACAATAAAGAAAGAAACTTAAAATATTACATTAGTCTGAGTGATTCATAATCATTGTCACAGTATGCAGAAGCAGACTGTATGAATTGTGAATAGTAGACCTAAATACAGACACAAAAGAACGTGGAACAAAACTTGATATTAACAAAAGGCAAGCCTTTTAATAAGGCTAAAAATAAAAATATATATAAGCATACTGCAACTGGTACTGGAACACAGGAATGGTTCCAGTACCCAAACCAAAACAGAGAAGAATTGCGTGTGTGCGTTGACTTGACCAAACTGAACATTCAGTGAAAAGAGAAAGACACTTGTTGCAATCAGTAGAGCACAGAGGGTGCATAGCACTGACATGTTCTCAAAACTTGATGCTAACTCAGGATTTTGGCAAATGCCTTTGTCCAAGCAGTCAGCTATTCTCACAACCTTCATCATGTCATTTGGAAGGTATTGTTTCAATAGACTCTGTTTTGGCATATCCTCAGCTCCTGAGCATTTTCAAAAATTAATGTTTCAGCTTTTGGAGGGGCTGGATGGAGTTGTCTGCCAAATGAATGACATTTTGGTTTATGCTGACACACAGGCCCAGCACAACAAGAGACTAGTCACAGTCCTGGAGCGGCTCACAAAAGCAGGTGTGACATTGAAAAGTGAGAAATGTGAGTTTGCAAAAACCTCAATCAAGTTCCTCGGACAGATCATTGACAGCACAGAAGTCAAAGCAGACCCAGAAAAAGTGAAAGCATTCAGCAACATGGAGGCACCAACTGATGTAAGTGGAATGAGATGATTCCAGGGAATGGTTAATTATCTAGGCAAGTACCTTCCCCACCTAGTAGGGAAAACACAGCCACTGAGAAAACTACTCAGTACCAAAAACATGTGGTGTTGGAGTGAGGCTCAACAAACAGCGTTTGACAGCATTTATGTCAGAACTGAGTAAACCACCAAAAACTGAGTTTCATGTTGAGACAGATCACAAGCCTTTTAGGCTCCACGAACTTAGATAAACTGCCGCCACAAGTGCAAAGACTGAGAATGAGATTAATGAGGTACTCTTTCACTATCTCACATGTCTCAGGCCAACACATAGCAAAACCTGTATGCACATCAGGTGATTTCAGGTCTTCCTGCAACAGAGGAGAGACTACAACAAATAAGAGAGCAGCAAGACAAAGATGAAACATTAAGACAAATCAAACTCTACTGCAAACAAACATAGCATACTAGGTCCATGTTTCCCATACCACCAGCATGCAGGGGACCTGACTGTTGAAAATGAACTTCTCCTAAAAGGTATGCGTATAGTTATTCCAAAGATATTACAAAAAGATGTTTTGACACGATTGCACACAGGTCACCAGGCGATTGCAAAGTCCAGGGAACGAGCCAAGCAGTCGGTATGGTGGCCAGGACTGAGCTCTCAACTACAACAGCTGGTAGCAGAATGTGAGACATATACAAAGGTGAGACCGCAACCCAGAGAAACACTCATGCCATCCGAGTTTCCTACACAGCTGTGGGAGTTAGTTGGTACTGATCTCTTTGACTGGAGTAACAGCCAGTATTTGGTTGTAATGGACTATTTCTCAAGATACGTAGAAATAGCTAAGCAGTCCTCTACCACATCAGATGCAGCGATTGCACACTTGAAGTCCATATTCGCACACCAAGGCATACCAACGTTCAGATCAGACCCATATCTCGCTCTCATGGCATATTGCACCACACTATTTGCCAATGGACATAGCCCTGCAGAGCTTCTATTGGGGTGGAAACTTCGTACCACAGTCCCCATACTTCCATCCTGCCTCAACCCAGGCTGGATAAACATCAAAACACTGAGAGAGAGAGAAAAGAAGGAGAGAGAGAAACAGTGGAAATGGTTCAACACAAGACCTTGATGGACTACACCTGGGAGATCAAGTTTGGATCACAGACATGAAAAAAATGTGACTATATCAGGCAGAGCAGACACACTACGGTCTTACCTTGAGACTCCCAAGGGGCTTCTATGTCGAAACAGGAGCCATCTCATCACACTTCAAGGGACCAAGACTGAACCGACTGAACACCAAAACCCTGTCCTGCCAGAGAACATCAACCCTGCTCCAAACCAGGCTCAGCAGTCTCCTATACCACCAAGTAACCAAACCACTGAAAAAAAACCAGAAACCCACCGAGTTACCTTAAGGGTACTCTCAAATACTCTCAAGCCAG